TGTTTGTTTATATAGCATCACTACAAGACAGTACATCTTCGTGGATCTGCAGAGATCTGCTCTATAGGGGAGTGCTATTGCTTAGTGATTGTTACATATGCTTAATAATAATAGGAAAAGCATATTAATAGCAGGAATCTTTCCTAAAATAAGTCCCTTACAGCCTTGCTGAATAAGAACTCACTTGTCACAGATTATATAATAATCCAAGGCAAGCATTTCAGGATGATCACCTGCTAATTATTAGCTTGTCCCATTATGGCTCTTGACAAAAAGAAGGGCAGGAGAGATGGCTCAGAGGCTAAGAGCATTATCTGCTCTTCCAGAAGTTCTGAGTTCCATTCCCAGCACCCACATGGTGGCTCACAACCATCTGTAATGGGATCTGGCGCCCTCTTCTGGGATGTAGGCGCACATGCAGGGAGAATGCTGCATATATAATCAATCCATCAATCATTAAAAATAAATAAAAAGAAAAGAATACAAGAGGCCATCCTTAGACAGCTTTAAAGGGGAACACACCTTTCCTTAGACCAAAAAGAAGCACAGGAACCAGCCAGCACTGCTCCATGGGACCTGAAGGAAGAGCTCAAAAGGCTGGATCTTGGCTGGCATCCCCTTGGCCTTCAGTGGGTGGCACAGAGCTAGCTAGCTGTTCCACGCCCCATCTCCCAGGACACTAACTTGTTTTCATAGTTAATGCCCCTAGGGAATGAGCTCCAAGTTTGATGTTACATTTCTGTGTGTAGAGTTCCTCACTTACTTTGGGCTTTCTGTCACCAGAGGCACATTTTTTTCTGAGTTTGTTGTTGTTGTTGTTTGGTTTTTCAAGACAGGGTTTCTCCGTGTACCCCTGAGCTGTCCTGGAACTCACTCTGTAGACCAGACTTACCTCAAACTCAGAGATCCCCCTGGCCTCTGCCTCCTGAGTGCTAGGATTAAGGCACTACTTAAGTCACTATAAGCCACTACTGCCAGGCTGAATTAACTGTTTTGAATGCAGCAGGCTTCTTCAGCCTCATAGAGGGAATGGAGGGATATAAAAAGAGTTCAGGGCCTCAGTGACACCTCTCCCTGTCCATCAATGACCTCCTACTTGACAGTTAAGTGCCTGTAAGGCTGCTAAACCCAGGGACACTGCACCTATCACAGTTCATTCTACCTACTGTGGGATGAGGGCAGGGATGCACAGTGGGAAGGGAACTCTTTAGTGTCTAAAGTGTGTTCCTGTCACCACAGAGGGTGGGAGGAGGGGGGGGGGAAGGAGAAACAAAGAAAAGAGGAAGAAGAGGGAGAGGAGGAGGAGGAGGAAACATCTCCATATCCTCCGTGACCTTCCCCTCCCTCCAGGAATCCTACCCTCAACCTAGAAAGAATCCATTCAAGAACTCTAGAGAAGCCCAGGAGGCCTTTCCTGAGCAGTTCTGTGGTTAAGACAGTTCAAAGGACCAGCAAAGCCTCTCTGAGCTTTGAGGCTTGCAAAAGGAAAAAGTGTAAACACACCCACCCTGTTAGAAATGGAACAGACCATGAAAGCAGGAGGAGGCCTTCCCTGTGCTTCTCTTCAGCTGACTACCCACTGTGTGAACTCCAGACAGGTGAGGAAAGCTGGTAATCCGTCACAAATTGCTCCCAACCCAGTGGGGAAGACACGAAGCACTGGGTTTACAAGGGCAGAGCAAAACAGTGTGATGGGATTAGGCAGGCAAACCAGGCAGTGGTGGCACATGCCTTTGCAGAGGCCGGTCAGTCTCTGAGTTTGAGGCCAGCCTGGTCCACAGAGTGAGTTCCACAACAGCCAGGGCTACACAGAGAAACCCTGTCTCCAAAAACCAAAACAAAAGAAGAAATCTCTGCTTGCTCAACTCTTCTGTGTATTGTTTTTCCTTCCTGTGTCTTTCTTTATGGCAATGCACCCATGTGTACAAACCAACTAGTGGATGGCAATGAGGAGCTGAGAAAGGAATAGAACAGAAGCAGGCATGGCCCCTGGCTGGCCATTCCTCACCATGTGTGGACCTCTGAGTCCCGCAAGCAGCCTACCAAATAGTGCTTTGTCCTGGATTTTGTCCACTATGTCCTACAAAGTGAGGTCTGATAGTTGCACCATCCCCAGAAACTATTCCTTCCTCTCAGCAAGTAGCAGTGTTTGACTGTACCACCATCCTCCTCCTCTTCCTCTCCCTCCTCCTCCTCCTCTTCTTCCTCCTCCTCCTCCTCCTAATGCTCCTTCTTCCATCCAGGATCCAAGTCCTGGACCAGAGAACAGTGACTCTCAAATATAGGCAGTTAGGCTGGACCAACTGTGAGGGAAATGTATTGGTTCAGAGGGAGGTTTATTGTTTTGCTTTACTTTACTGACTTCAAACCTGCTGTGCAGTAAAGGGTGGCCTGGACCTTCTGACTATCCTGCCTCTACCTCCCAAATGCTGGGATTATAGGTAGGTCACTACATCTGGCTTCAATTCATGGTTTTGTTTTGTTTTTCAAAGATTTTATTTATTACATGTATGTATGTGAGTACATTGTAGCTGTCTTCAGACACACCAGAAGAGGGCATCAGATCCCATTACAGATGATTGTGAGCCACCATGTGGTTGCTGGGAATTGAACTCAGGACCTGTGGAAGAGCAGTCAGTGCTCTTAACCGCTGAGCCATCTCTCCAGGTCATTTCAGTTTTTTTAAGATTTGTGTTTATTTGATGTGTTTAAACGTTTTACCCATATGTATGTACATGTATGCCTGGTGTTCATGAAAGTCAGAAGAGGGTGTCTGATCTCTGGGAACTGGTAATTATAGATCACTGTGAGCCACCATGTGGGTGCTGGGAACTGAACCCAGGTCCCTTGGAAGAGCTGCCAGTGCTCTTAACACTGAGCCATCTCTCCAACCCCGGACTCACGGTTTTTCAATCTTTGACAGCCTGGGGTTAAGCAAGAGCCCAAAGTTGCAGGACAACTAGGAACGGACAGCTGATCTCTTCTGCTTATTGAAAACGAGGCAATCATGACAGTAAAGGTGACCACCGCAGATCCCAAATCTCCCTCTGCCCTTTATAGAACCTGAGGCAAAATGGGGTGAGGAATTTCCCCATGTGGGAAAGGTGATGCCCATTTTCTGAAGTTCTTCAGAGCAAAGCTGCTGACTCTCAAAGGCTAGGCTCTCAGCCGTGTTGAACACTGGACTTTAGGTAATCAGTCCTAACTTGGCTATTTCTTCTCTTGGCTCTGGCTCAGACCCCTGTGCTTCTCAATGACAGGGTGCTAAGCCATCCCCAGAAAGACAGCAAAAGCTTCCTGGGTTTCCATGACCACCGACACCCGTATCCTACCCCTTGTCACCTTTTTCTACCCACCCACTGCGCTTATCCCCAGTCCGATCATGGTGCTCTGCTCTCAACTGTCCTCTGGTCTGGGAATTCCAGGTATTGAGACAGTGTCCAGAACCACAGGCCTGTCTCAAATGCATCACCCACAGCTTCCTACCTGAAATGAAGAGTCAGAATCCCACCAGACCTCTGCATAGCTCCCTGCTGGAGTCTTGGGTGCTATGATAGGCACCTGAAAGCCCCCAACATGAGTACCTCCTAGAAATCTGGGTAAGCATAGGAGCCTCGTCTCTCAGGTCTTTAGATAAGGCAAATGATAGCCCACGTGGAAAGATAAGGCCCAGAGAGATCTTGCCCTTTTGACTCCAGTGAGAGATTCTGGTAATCCAATGAAGACCAAACACAACCGCAGCTGACAGCTACAGAATCAGGTGGGTCCAGTAAGTCCTCAGCCTCCGATAGGACACATTCCCATATGCCCCTCCTCAGACCCTCTTCTCTTCACACTCCTGGGAGAAGGTGAATGAAGGAGACACCACCCATCTTCATTGCCTTCTCCTCCCAGGGGGTCTTCTGGCCTCACCTCTAGCCTATCTCAGAGGTGACTGCTAGAGTGCAGCCTACCTTCTGCCCCACCCACATTCCTCCATCCAAAGCACACTAGAGGAAGTAGTGATGGTAACCACCATAACACAGCTACTCAACTGCGGGCTCTACCCCAGGCACTATGCTCATGCCCACATCAGCCTGAAGAGGCACTTCCCTCATCAACAGCAGACTGAGCTCAGAGAGGCGACTGAATAAGACCACGGAGCTCCAAGTGGAAAAGCAGAGATCTGAACAAAGGTCACTACCCAGGTACCCTGGCACCTTGCCCTGACTGGCTTAAAGGCCAAGGAGGCGAGTGGGTCTGCCCCACACCCAAGACTGAGCCCAGTGGCAGGCAACCTTCTCCCAACACCACAAAGTCCCTACTGGAAGAGGGACAGTGTGGCTAGATGAAGATGACAATCTCACTTTCCTTTGCTCCCACTCCAAGAACACCGTGACAATGGGCTGGGGTGGCGGAGCCAGGCTGCTGGGAGGGGACCTCCTCCACGTACCTGGAACTTTGCACTGAGCAGGGAGCAGCAGATAGTACACAGAACAGCCTGACAGGCCAGTGTCCTCAGGAGATAAGGCTTCCTCCCTCTCCTAGCTGGCTAGCAAAAGCCTTAAGCCCTACTCCTCTCCTAATCCTCAAAGCAGAAGGCACAAAGGCCAGCCCTTCCCAAAACAAGAACTGGCTGGAAATGACCAAGGTGAGAAGTGAGGACAGAGCCCCAGTGCCAGAAGGAAACCAGAGAACCACAGGTAACCCCCACCCCACTCCACTTGTAAAGCCATGTCTGGACTGACCTTCCCGGCCACCAAGCCCCACTCCCAACTCTCCCAGTCAGACCTATAAAGCCAGAAGCTCAGAGCCAACTGAGGACAGCAGGACTCTGCTCTGACTTAGCAGAGTCCTCACCACCTTCCTCACACGCCCTCTGGCTTCCTCTCCTGGACCTGGAACAAGACCAGCAGCCACAGAGTCCCCACCACCGTCCCCACCACCATCCAGGCAGGAGCTGCTGTTGCCCGCACTGTCAGTCTTCCTCCCAGGGCCCGACAGGAAGCAAAGGCCAGACATGGTAAACAGAACATGGTGCTCTTTATTTGCATTTTTCAGAATACTGTACAAAGGGAGTAAAAATCCTATTCACACTTTGCTTAGAAAGACCAGAAGGGGAAAGTTCCCTATGATACATGGGGTTCAGGACGAGGGTCGGGGGAAAGGTGAGTGACCTCTAGCCCCTGGGAGAGGGCTTGGGCAGCCACTCATTTCCAAAGGAACATGCCCCAGTCGAACCAGCGAGGGGAGAGACAGCTCCTCTCCGGCCTAGCCTCAGGCTCTGTGACCTGCCTTTCTTTGGGCTGAGGAGACAGTGCCTGCAGCTGTCCCTACTACTGCCTTGTTTGGGCAGGATCCTGTAGCACTATGGAGACCACTGACTGCATGTGGAGGTGGCCTCCTGACCATTCATTCACATGCAAGCCACATAGGAGGCACTGCCCCAGCACAATCTACACAGGAATACAAGTTGACCGGCTAAGGAAGGCCTCTCTCAGCTTCTTCACACCACTAAGGTCAGTGTCCAAGTAGACCTGCTCCTGAGGACTCCCAGGCCTCTTCCAGCCTGTGCACGCCCTCATTCCAACCCAGGAGTTTCCAACCCACAGAGGCCGTCCTCCCCATCAGCATCATTCTGTGGGTAAATTAACCCTCCATGCCAGCTCTCCTTCTAGCCCACATCCCAAAGGAGGCTGAGTCTGGCTTCTCCTTCCCAGACCTCTTTTTTACAGTGATCCATATTGGCTGCTGCTATCTTGTCCATTCTAAGACCCAACCTACTATCCCCACCCAACCCCTGCTCAGAACTCCCCTCTCCCCAGACCAGGGCGGCAGCATCCTGTGCTCACCTCTAGGTGACCCACCAACCCATCTTCCTTTCCTAATCTCCCCTGCCCTACAGCTCATCGTGGGTTGCAAGGAAGTGAACAAAGCCCGACTGCTCTCTGCCTGGAGGGCGGAGGCAGCACGGTCAGGGTTCTAATACATACAGAACAGTGAGTCTCACCTCATACACCGAAGGACTGAGGGCAATCAATGTAGAAGCTGTACCGTCCCTCTGCCCCCTTTTCGGGGGCTAAAGTGCTATGGCCGCCTGAGGGTAAACAAGCCAACAGGGGTTTTTCCTGGCTTCCTGTCCTAACTTTTCAGGCCCACAGTCAGCCAGAGAGCCCAGCCCCTTTCCTGACCACCCCCATGGCATCTCTATTCAAAAGGCAAAAGGAAAAGATCAAAAACTTCAGAATGGGTTAGAGCCCAAGGGCCCCACCCTAACCCCACTACAAGCTACTCCAAGTCGGCTACTGGGGAAGCGAGGGGGAAGCCAGGCCCAGGGCACACCCCCATCTCTGGCAGTGTCCAGAGGCTCTGTCTGCAGCATCACAGCCTAGGCCTTCCACCCTTCCCCTGCCAACCTGGCTAGGGAAGGGGCTACAGCCTCAGTACTTATTGATTCCAAAGATCCGGACTCCGTGGAGCTGGGGCAGCTTGGGAATGAGCACGCTCATCAAGGACACAGTGTTGAGTATGAAGTGGACTTGATCATACTTGGTGTAGAAGCTGGTGAGGAAATACCTGGAGGGAGGGAGGCAGGCAGGCAATGTGGGTCCCCGGATAAGAAGTGAGGTGACAAGTCTCTAGCTAGTGAGGCCCTCCTGACCCACCCCAGCTTACTCCAGCCTATGGGCCCGTCTCACACACACAGTGAGGAAAGACAGGGCAAAGGAGGCCAAGGCCCCATGCGAGACCCAAGGATATGTCTCTTCCCTCCCTCTGCTCATCCATACACCAAGGGCCAGAGTGGGGGAGGGTGTAAGGCCAGCTGAGCTCATCAGTCTACCTCTGCTTAGCCTTCCATAGCCCAAGTACTCACAGCACAATAGGCGTGATGGTCAAGAACTTCCTAGAGGCTGTGAACTGGACCCCATAGTCCATCTGCTCCCAGTGGGTCAGCAGCCTGGCTTTGCCCTGGTCTGGAGTCTCGAAGGGTGTCCCTTTCACGGTGTGCAGAAAGATGTACATGCCCTGAAAAGAGAAGCCTTCATCAGAACATGCGAGTCGCCTCCCAGCCTGGCTCCCCAACCCATCCCAGCAGCAGCTCCGGGCGGACTGCCACCTGCTCTGCTGCAGAAACTCCTGAAGGCAGCCTTAACACAGGAAAGAGCACCTGAGCTCTGGGAGAACAAGAGGGAAGTAAGGAAGGGATGGACACAGCAAGGCGGCCTTTCCGGCCCAACTGGGGCCTCTACATGCTAGCTAACCCCTGCCTGCTCAAAAGTGGGGTACAAGGCAGAAGGTTTTAGGGAGCACCGAAGATCATGAGATCCTAACTTGGGAAAAGAATGTTTCTGCACCAGATTCCTGGGACCCGGGACAAGCTCAGCACGGACTCAGCTCTCAGCTGGCTGTCCTCCAAAGGCACCAGCCACCCCACTCTGGCAATACAGGCAAGATGCAGATTTGTTTCCTCAGCCCACAAGGGGGAGCCAGGCAGAGATGAGAGCTGGGCCTTAGCTCTGGTGACAGGTGTTGTCAGGATCTGCTGTCTGTCCCATTACAAGCTCCTCCTACCTCTCAGCTCTGGCCTAGAACCTCCCATATGGTGGGAGGCAGGCTATCGGTAAGCAGGATCTTACCAGGTTGTGGATAAGGTTGGTGAGGGTCCAAACGACAGGGACGCTCACAAAGGGGATACTCAGCAGCACGACATGCAGGAGCCCGATGGCCAGCACGTAGGAGAGCCAGATGCCGCGGCTGTTCATCACCCGTGTGTTGGGGTTCACCTCGCTGTGTGCTGTGCCCACATTCATTCTGCCACCCCTCTTGACTGCTGCTCTGCAAACGAGCAACACAGGTGAGACAGGTCACACCACTTTCCCTGCCCCCTCACACCCAGAGCCCCACAGAGAGGCGGGCTTCTCATTCCCTGAGAACTCCACACCACTGTCCACTCTTTTGATTCTCAAGCCCAGAAGCTGGAGAAAGTCCACATGAACATAATGCTAGTCACTTCCTGTCACTGGGCTGGATTAACAACAGGCTGTCATGTGTATCATCCGCTGGGACTCCCAAGTACTGACAAAGCCTGGGAGGACAAGTCACCAAGAGGTTACTAGCAATCAATAGACCAGGCTATAGCAATCAATGCCTAGTCCCCAATCACATTCCCTACAGTTCCCCTGAGGGCCTCCTCATCCTGGAGTAGAGAGAAAGGCCTGCCCTGGAACTCTCATTCAGAATACCTCTACTGGCTTTCTCATTGAGGACCTGACAGAAGACATCCACCACCCTAAGCTCTTCCCCAAAAGAGCAAGAAGCAGGGAAGACCTGTGGGTACAGCAACAACAAATGAAGTACTTTGGGGTTACTGTTCCCACCACCCCTATTTCTCCAAACCTGGACTTCCTCAAGTCCAGGCCCAGGATGACTGACAAAAAAGGGAGAAAAGGGCAGAGGCAACAGCAGGCTAGGGACAGCCTTCACTCAGACCCACAAACGTTTCCACACAAAATGACCCATCCACTGGGACATTTCATCCACTAGGCGTCTGCTGAGGCCGACTCTCTTGGCGTGCCACTATTCGATGCCAAGCCACCCGAGCCCTTTACCCCACTAGAGAGCGAGGAAGACAGGACAGAGCACATAGCCGACATTACAGTTCCCACAGGTAGGATGTGGTACCCATATCAGCCTTCCCCTCCCAAGGACACAAACCACCTGTGGCCTCCCTCCTATGCCTCCCTTCCCGGCCTCACCTGACCTCCTTCCCAGCACCTGTCTGTGGGTGTGAGGGAACAACACCCCTTTCTTGCCCAGCTCCAGTGGCAGATGTTCTACACCACAAGGATGCCCAGAAACCAACAGTAGTACCCCACAGCGGCCAGAGGGGAGAATGGTCTGTCCATATCCTGGGAGCATGGCTGTCTCCAGATTCCTCAGGGCCGACTGACTGACCAGCAGAAAGTGGGAATGGGAGGCATCCACGTACTGAATCACCTCCCTACCTTAGAGTCCTGCCTGGTAAAGACTCATTACTGTGGCTAACAACTCCACCTTTCCACGGTGTACAGACAGAAGGAGCAGATGGAGACAGTCTGGAAGTGCCAACCCAGCTCCCTTACCCTGCTGCACTCACCTCGCCCCCAGACTCAGATGCTATCTCTCATCCAGCTAGGATTCCAGGTATCCCTCCTCCACAGGAGCCAGAATTCACTCAGAGAAATTCATTACTTAAGTACAGGATGTAAGTTTCCTCTTCTCACACACCTTGGGAGATATGGCCCAAAGCAGTTTCCCAACAAACATACCAGTGAGTTGGCTTAGCGTGCATCCAGGTGGGCATCCTCCAGGGACCACACTCCTGGCTCATTAAGACGAATAACTGCTCCCAACAGAACCCCAAGGAACTAAAAAACCAGTTGTTTACCTTCCTCAGACCTTAGGGCTTCAGTTACCTTAACAGAGCCAGCCCTGGGGACATCTACTATGTCACAGCCTCCCTGAGAGGGACAGGGACTGAGATGTGAAGTCTCTGAAAGACCATCAAGGTGAGGAAAAGTTTCCCAAGTCTCTGCAGAAACTGCTGTCTCTCCCCATAACACAGCCTTACAGTGGCACAGCTACAGACAGAACTTCCTCACGCTGAGTTCAGTAGTGCCAAAAGTCTGGCTGGATCCCAGGATTACAAGACTCTCCACTCCTTTGTGGCACTAACAGAGGCTCTAACAGGCATCTAAGAGAGCCTAGGTTGAGCCCGTGGGAATTGTCTTCCTAAAGCCTAGGTGCTAGTTGTCTTTTAAAGCAGGTTAGGAACTTCAGGAGACCCCTGCACCCTCTTCCACCATCCCCCGAAAAAGTACTTCTGAGACTTTCCTGTGCCTTTGTGTATTTCCATTAGTACACAACTGACCTTTCTCCCAGAAGCGAATAGGAAACTGGCAGAGGCAGAAAGGTCTGGAGTGGCCAGATTGAAAACTTCTGCTACTGTAGCTGGCAGGTGGCTGGTGTGATTTCATAACCTGCCTCAAATCAGAACCCGAAGCAACTCTGTTCTGTTAACCACTTTTTTGGCTATAGTTCTTTGCCTCTTTTCCATGCAGGCCCAAGCCAGTCTGTCAGACACTCATGCCAAGACTAGATTACCGCCCCCACCCCCACCCCCACCCCCGGCGTAACCATCCGGTAAGCACTTCCAATTCCCTCCCCAGCTTAAGACTGGCCCTTTATACAGCAACCCGTTCCTGAGGGATCCCAATAGGGAGTTCGTGCAACACACAATAGGCCTCTTCCACTAGGCCCACCTTCAATCTGCAGGGCCACGGTTGTCCTCGCCAGCCCAGACTCCTGGACTCAGGAAAGTGGGAATGGAAAGAAAGCGAACCCCCACTAGTCAGGAGCGAGGAAACAGTGGCCTCGATATCTTGGGGTTATGTGTAAGAGAACTCCTTCCATAGAGCCTCCCGCTCTGCTCCGCAGCCTGGCACCTCGCAATAGCAGTATGGCAGGGTTCGGGCCCAACCCCCATCTCCACGCATTCACTCAGCCCTGGAGGCGGCCAAACCTTTATCCCAGAAGTCCAGCCGTTCCCCGCCTCCCACCCCGCCAGCTGAAGCGCTCCTCCCGGACGTACCACCCCCGGCCTCCTGCTCCCACTTTCTTCTTTCCGCACTCCTTCGCCTGATGCATGCACTCTCCACCCCCAGCCACCTAGCTCAGGTCTCCTCCTGCGCGGACGCCTCTTCAGCAGCAACCTTCTCTCTCGGCTCTCCAAGCCGTGGAGCCTTCGGGCTTCACCACTCCGAGGCCGCCCGTATGGACTCACCGCGCGGGGCCAGAGGTCGAGGGCCCGGGAGAGGAGCCCGAGAACCCGGGCCGCGGCCGCTCCAGCAGCTGTAACAAACCAGCGGCAGTGGCCACCCCGCTGGCAGCTCTGGCCGAATCAGCTCCCTGAGCCGAGCCGTGACGTCACTGCCACGCGCCTGTCACGTTGTGCCTCTTGGGAAGTGTAGTTTCTACGCTGACTCCTCCCCTACCTGCCCGGCGCCTCCTGGGAGTTGTAGGCTTTTCCCTGATCTGGCTCTCCGAACCCCACCGCGAGCATAGGCACCGCGTAGAACGTCTCACCCTGACGCAATAGTGAGATTAGATGCTGTCTCTTAGGTGCGTTAACAATTCCAGCTTTTGCATCTGCGCCCTTCAAGTGTTGCACAAGCGGTTTGTCCATGTCCCCTCTTGTAGACAAAGACTCAAGAGTAACTAGCAATAAGGCCCTGCTGAAATAGTCTGACACTAAGTGCAGAGGTTTTTTTCACCTAACCGTTACTGCCTTGGCCCCAGATTGTCTCCAGAAGCCAAGAAACACGCCCCTTTGCCCTGAAGGAGTCCCACTCACTCACCCCCGGGATCATATTTTTCAGAACTTTGGTTGGGGTAGAGATGGGAGCCTGTGGACATCGTTGGTCCACCTAGTCTTTATGCTTAAACCTTGCTGGTGTGGCTCTAGGCATTCCTGGATCTCCCCGCATCAGGTATAAAATAGGATTTAAGGAGCTTTGAGCTTCTGTCTGAGGTTAACATGTGTAACTTTAGGTAGGGAGGCTCCGTTCTTCAATTTTCATGTCTGGAAGCTCTGAAAATAAGAGCACAGATTTTATTGCTAGGTACATAGAGTGCATGTACATCTTTATTGGCAGAGTAACCCTAGACAAATTACTTGTCTTAATCTCAGTTTTACAGCTGTGAAAACTTCCAAGGTTGTTTTGATATTTCAAAAGAATGTAATACAAACCACCTATTATCTTATAGGAACCCAAGCAGATTGCTCGCTAGCTCTCCTAGGCCACTCCCACTTCCACGTCAACAAGAAAGGGCCTCCTTTCAGTTGTTTCTACTTCCCCGCCCACCTTCTCAGTCTCGTGCCCATAAATCCTGGCAAGGCTGGAACGACAGGATTAGGTGACGTAACATGCCAACCTGGCTGGCTGTAAATGCACGATGAACTGAATGTATGAGGACAGGAAGGAGAAGGCCTGCCGGGACAACCTGGGGAGCGTTTTCCTTAGACCCGCCCATCATCGGGAGCTGCGGGAGGAGGTGTGAGCGGGGAGGAATAGCTGTCTCAGGCTGGAGGGGGAGCCCTGGAAGCCAGGAGTGAGTGTATATCTGACCTACCCAGAGAAGTAGAAATAGGCAGCTTTTCGAGTATTCCAGAGCCAGAGGCCCTTTAAATCCAAACATCTAAATAACCATCCTTCAGCATCTGTGAGACTGAAGAAGCCTCACAGAGATAACCTCCACAACCACACCCCCACACCCCCCACCTCCACCTCCTACTCCGGTGAGCCAAAACAATGGTGGTGGTGGTGGGGGAGGTTTCCAAAGTGAACTTGCCTGATTCCTTTGATTTTTTTTTTTTTTCCTGGAATTCTTCCATTGTCCATCAAGTTGGTTGTGCTCTGGATCTTTGCCAGTTTTCTCCCATGTCTGTGAAGTTCAGTGACCAGACAGGGTCTACATCTGAACGAGGCACTCTGACTAATGCAGACTCCCTAGGCAAGGTCACTATAGCTATGTCACGGCCTATTAATAGCTCCTGTTATCAAGCTGTTTTGTTTTTCCCACAGTGGGAATGAACAAAGTTCTGGCTCTTTCTGCCTTGCGGTAAGATATGGCTCACATTCCACTCGAGTTAGCTGGAGTCCTTGTCATCATCTCCTCTAATTCATTGACTCATCACAACCAAGTCTTCCACAAACATCCTCTAGCTGTGACGACCTGAACACTGTTTAGGAAGAGTGACAGCACATGATACCGGGGAACTCGCAATCCCTGGGACAAACGATTGCCAAGGAAATAAATTGTCCGTGCCCTGAAGACATGATTGTATCCACATCTAAGAAAGTAAACCCATTTACAGCATAAGGCTCTGAGAGCGAGGCCATGTATCCCAGCAATCCTGAGATTTCACTGCTGAGGGAATGCTGTAGCCACGAAACCATTTATGGCTGCAGAAACTGTGGCAGCATGGGAAAACGGCTGCCAGGTTATATGAAAAGATAACAATGGAGATTGAGCATTTCTCAGGGATGACATCAGCAAAACCTAGCTCAAGGGACATGGAGGTAGGAAGCTCGCAAGTTGGAAGTCAACTGGACAGCACAGTGAATTCTAGAGCAGCCTGGGCCACGTAGCAAGACTATTTGAAACTCAAGAGCCAGGCTTAGGGGTCCATGCCTGTGGTCCCAGCACTTAGGTTTTGGTTTCGGACCCTGGGAAAGGGACTGAGGTGCATATTTTACATGTCAAAGAAGACCTGGTCTCCAGGGTCTCCCAACATCCTTCTGCCATACCCTGCCACCAACCTGAATTTTCCAGCCCGGGGGTTGGGCTGCCCTTCCCCCCAGAGAGTCTTCCCTATATAATCCAGACATTTTGCTCACTCGATCTCTCCCCCTGTCCCCTCTCTCTACCTCCTCTTCCCCTCCCCCTCTTCCTCTCTTTTCTTTTTTCCACTTCTCTCTCTGCATGAGCTCACCCCTTTCTTTTCTCTCCCCAACCCCAGACCCCTTTTCCTCAAGATGACTTCCCTGGCCTTGGTCCTTGGGGCCAGTAAACTTGCCCGTCCGAGTGCAGCCTCCCAATAAACCTGCCTTTAATATAATCTAATCTCTCTTAAATGGGCTCATTTCACTGGCAGTGGTGGAGAGATAACCTATCACTCAAGAGGTAGAAACAGAAGCAGCAGAAGCTCAGGTGATCCTTGGCTACGTGGTGAGCTGGAAGCCAGCCGGCGCTGTGAGACCCTGTCTCCAGAGAACACAACAGCTAAAGTGAGCTCTGTGTCACCCCAAGACTTATTCGAGTCTTGATTTAAGCAAACCAACTTTTAAAAGTGTATTTCTAATTGTCAGAGGTAATTGAAAAATGACCAGATATTTGATGATAATAAGGGACTTGTACATTCTACACCATATGGTCCTACCATACAGTTTTTTCATTAAAAAAAAAAATAGGCTGGAGTAGGCACTTCCTTGCTCGAGTGCATTGGCCCAGGCATCGTCTAGTTGATAACACCAGCTCCAAAATTTGGAAATACTGGACATCTAGTTGGTTCCAATTTGTAAACCACAGGATGAGTATTCGGTGGGCATGAGAGATTAAGAACATTCTACCACACTATAATAATCCTTGGTATAGATCACTTCCTTTTCTGTGGATTGAAGCCAGAGAGCACAATGAGTACAAGAAATCCTCAATGAAAGCGGTGTGGTGGAACCGTAAATTCTAGACAAACCCAGAAGCGAACTTGGGAAACAACTTCAACCCCTGAGATTTCCTTGGAAGCAGAACCCATAGAACTTGTGGAAACTGTTGGAGAGGAAATTGTGGACCTCACCTGTGAATCTTTAGACCCTGTGGTTGTGGACCTGACTCACAATGACTCTGTTGTGATTGTTGAAGAAAGGAGAAAGCCAAGGAGAAATGGGAAGAGGTTGTGTCAAGACCATACAGACAGCTGTGTGGTGAGCAGTGATGGAGAGGAACTGTCTAGGGACAAAGATGTGTACGTGGCTACCCATACTCCTTGAAGCACCAAGGATGATGGAGCTACTGTACTCAGGACCTCGGGTACTGTCAGCTGTCCGCTCTGCATGGATGGATTGTGCAGAATGGGCATCTCATTGTTTCTACAGAATGTGGCCACGTCTTCTGTAGCCAGTGCCTCCGTGATTCCCTTAAGAATGCTAACTTTTGCCCAACTTGTCGGAAAAAGATCAATCATAAACGATACCACCCCATTTATATATGAAATGTTCACAGCTGCTCAGGATAGACCAATGGACAGACAGCCGGGCTGGCTTTTCTGCATGGTATCTGCCTCCAGTTTCCTGAGCTCAAAAAGACTTTCAAAAATCAATGTCTGATGTAAAACTGGTCTTTTGTTTTCCAACCCCTTAGATCCTTTTGTTATTTCCAGAGTGATGCTTTGGAGCATGATCCAGGGATCCTCCCAGATCAGCTCAGCATCTCTGCCCCTCTGGGTGGTCTGAGCCCAGAGTAGGAAAAAAGGAGTCAGGCATATTGGAGTTGAGCGTCATGGCCCCAGCCTTTATGGAGCTTACATTGGCCAAGAAGTGTTTCCCTGTTGGGAAAGTTTGTCCCAGCTCTTGTGGGTGAAGAACCTTCCCAAGGCACCTTCCAGTTAGCTGTTATACCTGCCAAACAGTGACCTGGCCAGACAGTCCAAATAGCCCAAGGATATCAGTATATAAACTGCCCATGAAAAGCCTAGCAGGTGGTCTTTTAGTTTTCCTTCCCATGAGAGCAGAGGTGACCCATGATTCTGCCTGAAACTTATCATTGATGTGCAGTGTTTTCTGCAAATCAAGAGACTCTGCAGGGCAATCCTGTTTCCTAAGAATGAGAAAGTGCAATAAAGCCCGTTCTTCACCTGCTCTTCAGCATCTGGAAGATGTAGCACTGCTAGTATCCAGTCCAGTGTTGCCTATGGGAGCAGTGCCCATCCCACCCCATCTCTGTTCACCAACTGTTCTCAGGAACCCTACCCATGCTCCAAAGTTCTTTGCCTGGCACAGAACATTCAAGGCTAATAGGACAAGCAACTGTTTGAGTGTCCCCTCTTTTCTGCTAAGATGTGTCCTGTGTTGTCTAAAATGCCCTCCAAACCCTCAGTTTTTCAGTTCCCTATGCCTAATGTTTGCCCAAGCATAGATATCAGGAGGTGGTAGCAGTAACAGTGGCTTTATCAGCTGTTCACTTACATGCTTTTGCCCAAGTCACTGTTGCCCATGTTTCAGAGCT